GCTCGGCTCACCAGCCGCGCGATCGTGGAGCGATCAGGATGATCGCCTGCGACGGTGCCTGGACTAAGGACCGCGCCATCGAGCGCGGGCACCTGCTTCAAGACAATTTGTGCCAGCTTTGCGGCGCTGCTCATGATTGTTTGATGCGCCGACTGTGGCAGTGCCCGAGCGTTTCCGAACAGCGCCAAGAGGCCTGTGACGCTGCCATTGTGCAAGACGCCCTTCGTGTTATTGACGAGGACAGCGACAGCGAAAATATTTTATTTTCCATTGGTATTTTCCTCCACCCAGGAGACTGGTTGCCGAGGCCCTCGGAGGCTGGAAATATCGTCCACGTTTTTGCTGGTGGTCCTGGGTCCGCCCCGGGAGCCGCCGGCGTTTCTGGTGATGTTTTCTGGGACGGTTCGTCCTACAAGCATGTCATCAAGGAGCTGTCAAGGGCTGGCTGGGGCTTCGTTTCTGTTGACCCCCAAGGAGAAGTTACCGTTTCAGTCTCGGGGGCGGTGTCCAAGCCCTTCGCCCAGACCTCTCAGGCTGGGGAGTACAGTGCCTATGCAGCTACTGCTCAATGCTTGGAGGAGCCCGCCACGGGCTTTGCGGATTGCGAAGGGGTCGTTAGGGCCCACTCTGCACCCAGAGCTGTCCGTTTCTCTTATAAGAAGAAATATTCTGGTAGTGCTGCATTTGCTTCCTCAAAGTGTTGGTGCGATGTGAGGAAAGTAAAGGCTCACACTGTCGAATCTGCCGACATGACGGATGAGGAGAAATTTCTCAAGCTCCGCAACGACGCAGCAGACAGAGCTGCGAAGCACGGTGCGTCTCTCCACCCGCAGGCCAGTGCGGACGAGATGGCGCAGATAGATCGAACAGTTCCCTGTGCCCGTGCTGTATGTAGAGTTGCCGCCGCGGTATTACCCAGCTGGCCGAAGTTAGACCTCAGTGAAGTGCAGCATGCCATTCCCATGCCACCTCCTCCTTCGCTTGAGCCCCGCTTCGATCACCAATGGGAATGGTATCGCGGTATCTGGCGGTGCATGTGCTGTCTCCGTTTTCGTCGCTGCGCTGATCGACCTTCCTTGACAGCATGTCGCGGTGAGCCACCGCCTGCTGTGCAACTGATTTCGAATTTAGGTCACCGCATGCTCGCGTTGCAATGCAGTGATCAGTCGCCACTCTTCGTTCGCGTCAGGTGTAAAACCTACACTTGTCTCGGCAGAGTGTTGCGGCTTAGCCGCCAATGTGATCCCGCCAAGACTGGCCGTAATGACTGGGACCGCTGGCGGCTTGCGCAGCGTGGGCATCACCCTAAGCTCAAAGGGGTTAGTGTCGAGCCCATGCCCGATATGGATTCGTGAATCCCACGGCCATATTTTTTCTTTCCCTCTGGTCACCTGTAGGGCGGTGCCGAATGGAAAAAAAAACTCCTCCCCCTCCTCCTTCTCCCCCTCCTTTTCTTCCTTCTCCTCCTCCTCCTCCTCCCCCTCCTCCTTTTCCCCCTCCTCCTCTTCCTCCTCCTCCTCCACCTCCTCCTCCTCCTCCTCCTCCTCCTTCTCCTCTTCCTCCTCCTCCTCCCCCGCCTCCAGGCGGGCCTGCGACGCCCGCCGCCGGCTGCGCTGGGCGGCCCCAACCGAACCAAACCCAAGAGTTCCGCCACGCAGGACTCGCGAGTCGCCGCCGCCGCCGCCGTCGTCGTCGTCGTCGTCGTCGTCGGCGGCGGCTTGAGCATCGAGGTCCGAGATTCTCGGGGGGATCGAGGGTCTTCTCGCCCTTTTCCTTGCAGGCCGCCGGAGACTCCAGGGACGTCGGCCATGGTCGGCGCGGTCGTCGTCGGAGTCGGTTTCAGAGTTTCTCGGAGCGTCTTGCCGTTTTCCAGCCTGCTTGAGAGAAGGCTCGAGAGGCGCCAGGATTGTCCAGAAGGCATCCCGTGAGAGGCGCCCGAGAGCACGCGGTAGCGCGTACGCTTGCCAACATGCCTGGATTTGCCGCGTGCTCGCACGACTGCGTGGGCGCGTTCGCGCGCACGCGTGCGCGGTGGCCCGCTTGGCCGCGCACGTGACCAAAGGCCCCGCGTGCTTCTGTGGTTGCGGGCTCGATCGCTCGCGTGCGCGTGTGATCGCACGCACGCGCGCAGTGGCATCCGCACGTTTGCTCACATGCAGCGCGGGGTCGGGCCGAGCGCGCGCTGATCTCGGAATGCCAAGCTCACACCGGTGCACTGACCGAGCGGGAGGCATCTGAGCGTCGCAGAGGCTGGTCGCTGCGTCTGGCGGCGCGTGCCGCCGGCGGCTGTCTGCATGCGTGCGTGCCGGCGCGCACGACCGCACGCTCGCAGTCTTCGCTTGGCCGCCAGGCTTGCGAGCGCGAGTCCCGTTGTTGCTGCTGCTGCTGCTGCTGCTGCTGCTGCTGCTGCTGCTGCTGCTGCTGCTGCTGCTGCTGCTGCTGCTGCTGCTGCTGCTGCTGCTGCTGCTTCGTGTCGCCCCCCAGCAGAGGACCTGCTGGAACGAGCGGAGCCCAAAGCTTCACGCCTCTCCCCGCCCACCTCCCTCCCCCGTCCCCTGCGCATCCTCCTCGTCTCAGGGGGGAGAGAAGCACACAGACACAGTTCATCGTCGACTCCCAGGAAAATGTGGGAAAATAGGGGAAGTGGGGGGGAAGACGAAGCCCCAGCCCGCAGCAAATATTAGAACATATAAAAAGGATCCTGTTACTTGTGTGTACTCGTTTGCGTGTCCCTGGGCCCCTTCCTCGGCATGGCCACCCCCGCCCTGGCCGTCGCACGGGCAGGCTCGCGCCCGCGCCGCAGCGGTGGCGACCCTGGCGCGGGTGCTCGGGTTGCACGCCGCCGGTGGCCCAGGGTTGGCAGGCAGCGAACGATCCGCGCGGCTGGAAGGCCGCGCCCGAACGATCTACGCGGTGCGTCAGGAACCAATCCACAAGCCGTCGCGGCACGAATTTGCCTCACAGGCCTTCCTCTCCTCCGTCTTCGTCGTCCAGCTGCGGCCCCACTCTGGCGCCTCCCCTGGAACGGCCCTTTCGGCGTGGCTCGCGGGGGCCCAGATAGGACCTCAATAGGATTAGACGGCCCCCGTCTGGCCCCATCCCAGCCCCATCTGGATTTGGGGAGTCGTTCAGCGGGATCGGGATGGGGACGGAAAGAATGGGAACGAACACCGAAGGATTCGTTTTCGATGTCGCCGCGGGCTTTGTCCTTGTGGGGCGAAAATCGCCTGCCCGGCAGCGACCGCTGTTGGTTTGGGACAGCATTCCCATTACAAGTGGGTTTGAACGGGGTTCTAAGCGTGCTCGTTCTTGTAACCTCTGAAGGTCCTTAGTTTTGCTCCCCCCTGTTTCTCTCGGCGGTGAATGTAACTCGTCCCGCCTCCTCCGCGTCCTCCTCTTCCTCCTCCTCCTCCTCCTCCTCCCTCCTCCTCCTCCTCCTCCTCCAGACAGCCGTGGTGCGCACCGACACCACCAGCAGACCCTTCGACCTCCGTCGCGGCACAAAACAAGGAGATCCGCTGAGCTCATTACTTTTCTTCAACGCTCTGCTTCAACATATCCTAGCACCGCTGGTTCCAAACTGGCAGCAGAAACGCCGGGGCGTTTAATTGGGCCACACCGACGATTCGACACTCACGAACCTCCGGTTCGCAGACGACATATTGCTGACCAGCCAAACACTACACAATTTGAAAAGATTGTGTTCCGACTTGATCGCATCTGCCACGCCACATGGGTTGGAGCTACACCCAACCAAAAACAAAATCATGACCAACCAGCTTCGCAACCGTGACCAGACGGCTACAGTAACATTGATGGACATCGAAATCCTACCACGAACCAGCACCATCAGACGATCACCTTCCACGATGCCACCGCGACCGAAGTCAAGCACCGGATTCAAGCTGCGTGGGCGTGTTTTAGCGGCCATTGACAAGAATTCACCAGCAAACACTACCCATTGAGACATCGATTGCAGCTTTACGAGGGTACAGTTATCCCTACTATGACGTACGGCGCAGAAATTTGGACTCTGACAGAGCCCCTCAAGAAGCAGCTACGACAAATGCAACGACGCATGATCAGAATAATCATAGGGACACCGAGGAGACGCACAGCTGCACCGACACCGCACCACGACCCAGCAGCATACCAAAACAACACCCACCACCACAGTAAGGGATCCACCAATCCACACGACTCCAACGATTCCACCGAGTCCGACGTACGCAGTGACCTTCCCAACCCGCTCAATCTGCAAGACGCAGGCAACGACGACGAGGACACGCAGCCTAACGGCAGGGGGGATGACGACCTGGAGCTGTGGTCCGACATCATTCGCAGAAGCACGCGGAGGGCGGAATCACCCCTGATCATGCACGATATACCAGACGTGTTGTACATACATCGTAGAATGGTATGGCGGTGGGCGAGAACGGCGTCTCACCATCCCACGACGCGCTGGACCCGGAGAGCGCTCGAACGGAACCCGAATCTCAAGACACGCCAGCGCGGACGACGGCAGCCAAAGCGGTGGGACGACGAAGTCCGCAGCTGCCTGCACAGTCTGGACAGCGAGGCCGTAGAGGAACAGAACAGGGCAGCCACCCAGCCACGACAATACGAGCACAACAGCACGAACGGCCTACGATGGATCCGGGCCGCTTGCTGCACAGAGTGGTGGACATCCTGGGAGCCGGCATACGTTTCACAACCCTGAATATTTTGGTGATCATTCTTGTCGAGGCCACGGCCTCCACGCCATGCCCTGATGGGCACGGGCGGGCTCCCAGGAGGAGCGCGCACGACTCCGGCGTTCGCTCCGCTTCGCTTCGCTTCGCTTCGCTTCCTCCTCCTCCTCCTCCTCCTCCTCCTCCTCCTCCTCCTCCTCCCCCCCTCTTCCTCCTGCTCCAACATCTGCGCGGCGGGTACCGCGGAGAAAGAAGTATGTCCCCCTCCTGGTGGGACCCCAGTCCGTCCACAAGGGCGTCGGTCCGCAGACATCTTGGCTCAAGCCGCTGTTTCGCCGAAGCACCTCCCAGGCGATCTCTTGGAAGCAGAGCCCGTGCCGCGCTCGGCGTGTCTTTGCCGCAATGGCCCGCTCCGCGTCCCTGCTGATCGCTTGCGCTGTCGCCGCCATCGCCGCTCTGTCGGTGGGCTCCCTCGTGCTGTCCTTCGTCGGCGCCTCGTCCCCGGCCTCGGCGGGCCTCCGGACCGGGCAGCGCGCCCCCGCCGTGGAGATGCACTTCTTCGGCGGCCCGCCGGTGACGACCACGCCCCCGCCGCCGGTGGGCTTCAGCCTGGGGGGCGTGGGCGGGAACAACTACGTGATCTCGATCACCATCCTCTTCTTCGGCTCGGTCCTCGCGAACGCCAACGGCTTCTTCGGGCCGTGGTGAGATCCCGGGCGCTCTCCCCGGGCCAGCAGGCGGGCCTGCCGAGGACGGCCTCCTCGACGGCGCCACGTTCTCCTATGTGTTGCGTGCCATTTACGGGCGCCGCGTCTGCAGCCAGCGCGCATCTAGCTTTCCTTCGGTGCGGCGGTTGTTGAAGAAAAGTCCACGAGGGCGTCGAATGGATCATTAGTAGTTGCCACTATATTTCTGGGGGGGTCCGGGGACACCTTATGGATCAAGACACGGGTTCCGAGGGGCGTGTGTCCGTAACCGACGGCCCGTGGCCTCGCGCCTGGTCTGCCGCTTGGTCTCCCAGGTGGTCTCCCGTGTGGCCTCCCTCATGCTCTCCCGCGCATCCTCCCGTGTGCCCTTCCGCGTGCCCTCCCGCATGGCCTCTGGCACAGCTCTGGCACCGCAGAAAACGCCCTTCTGCCTTAGTGGGCCCTGGAAACGACAGCGCCGTTTTTTTACCGGTTCCGTTTTGCCGTTTTGTTTGCCGGTTCCGACGCCGTTCTCTTACCGGTTCCGTCGCCGTTTTTGTTCCGGTTCCGGCCCCGGTTCCAAGCCTGAAGCCGTTTTTTGGCCGTTTCCGGTCGCCGTTGTTTTGCCGTTTCCATGTTCAAGGGATTTTTTCGGACACGGTGAAAAAACGGCCTTGCCGATTCCGGGGCCCACTAAGCCCTCTGCAGTGTCGAAGCACGTGCGCTTTCGCGTGCTCCCCGCCAGGGCGTAAGTCGCCCTCGGGCGTGCAAACCTCGGGCTCAGGGCCAAGACTTCCGGCGTCGCTCGGAAGCTCTCGGTGGCGGTGTCTTCCGAGGAGTCCCGGGCCTCGTGCAGCCCCTCCCCCGGGCCTCGGGGCCCATCAGCAACAGAATGGAGATGGAGAGCAGGAGGAGGAGGAGGAGGAGGAGGAGGAGGAGGAGGGGAGGAGAAGGAGGAGGAGAGGGAGGAGGAGGAGGAGGAGGAGAGGGGAGGGGAGGGTAGGGAGGTAGGGGAGGGGAGGAGAGGAGGAGGAGAGGAAGGAGAAGAGGAGAGGAGAGAAGGAGGGGAGGGAGGAGGGGAGAGGAGGAGAGGAGAGGAGAGGAGAGGAGAGGAGAGGAGAGGAGGAGGAGAGGAGGAGGAGGAGGAGCGCGGGGCGCTGTCTCCTCAGAACGAGGACCCAACACCAGAGGACGGTTGGGAAAGGTGGAGATGGCAGGCATCGCCTCGAGAGAGCCGACGGGAGCTCCCGACGTCGCTGGCCCGGGGGCACCCTGCTTCGGGGCCCCCTCGGGGCCCTGGCCGGGCGGGCGGCGCAGGCCGTTGGCCGGGAGGGTGGTGTCTCTGACGAGGCCCAGGCGGGGGCCTCCGTCTGCGACTTGGGATCGGGCTGGACGACAGGGGGTGACTGGGAAAGGGGTGGTTACGAAATCTGCTGCATGCAGCTGGTTTCGGCCCCACCGAGGGGCCCATTCCTCGATACATGGCCGCCTCCGGCGACGGGAGGCGCCAGGAATATCAGCTGCATGAGCTGATTTTCAAACCCCCCCTTTGCTATCCCCCCCTTTCGCCCAGCCCGACGGGAGGGCGCTCCGGATTCCATGGTCCTAGTAAACGGGGGAGGTCCGACTTGGGGGCGCCGCTCTGATCTGAGCCGTTTTTGTGGGTTGCCGGGGGGGTCCGGGCAAGAGGCCGCCCTTTCACGGCTGGTCTGGGGGGGGCTCCAAAACTGCTCGCCCGGGAGGGTCGTGACCCCCTCGCTTGCATGAATTACGAAGTTGGGAGTGGCCCCCCCTTTCCCCGCTTCCACTGCCCCCCTGGTCAGTCGTCCGTCGCTTCCGCGCGCTTCCTGGAGTTCGGCCCTCGGTCTCAGGGAGGCTTCTGTCCAGCCCTCCAGAGGGCGTTGTTCGTGGAGGCAAGCGGGCGACGTAAAAGGGCGGGAGAGCCTGCTGCGCGGAGGTTCGGGCGTGAGGTGCCCGCGTACTCTTGGGTGGGATATCAATCGAGTGGTGGGCGACTAACCTTCCGACGGAGTTTGCCCGTCCCCCCCCTCCTCCATCTGCTCCTCCTCCTCCTCCTCCTCCTCCTCCTCCTCCTCCTCCTCCTCCTCCTCCAACCCCCCTCCACCCGTTCCGACAGCACGTGCCCAACCCCCCCCAGCGCATCCAGGGAGGGGGGTGGGGGGGGCGACATTGCCCCATCCAGAGTAGGGTCGCGCGCGCCCTCTTCCCCACGGCTCGTGCTGCGTGAGGGGTCTGCGTACGCCACCGCGTGAGGTCCACGTGCCCTCGCGCGTGAGGGGTGCTTTTGTCGTCGACCGCGTGGGGATCCCGTCCGCCCACATGCGTGGGGCCAGAGGGCGTCAGCGCCTCCCCTGGCTGGCCGCCCCCTTCCCCCACCTTGGCACCTCTCGGAGGTGTGCGGCCGTTGTCGACGAGCACCATCGAGGAGCATGTTTGGGTCATCATAGTGCGAAACACATTTTTTTGGTCGGCGGGGCGAGAGCGAACCTCTTCAGCTAAAAGCTAGGCGGGCTACGCACAGCTCTAATTGGGGAGACAGGGCAAAGGTGGGCGGGGCCTCAGGCGGCCAAGAGGGCGGGGCCCGGGGTGCAGGCGGTGCCGAGGAGTTTGCACATCATAGTGCGAAACACGACGCGCGCGAAGCCGAAAAAAAAGGCACGGGGAATGGACGCCCGAGCGACGGCGAGCCGTGCTTGGGCGCGCTGGACCCCGGCGCGCCTGCCGCGGAGCTTGGAGCACCTGGCGGCGGGTGCCGCGGCAGAGCGCGCAGGCACGGCGGCACGCAGAGAGCGCCACTCTCCTGGCGCGGGGGCGGCGCGGGAGAGCGGCGGGGAGCACCGCCGCCCTGGCGGGGCCCTCTTCCTCTTCCTCCTCCTCCGCCTCCTCGTCCTCGTCCTCCTCCTCCGCCTCCTCCTCCTCCGCCTCCCCCTCCTCCGCCTCCTCCGCCCCCTCCTCCTCCTCCGCCTCCTCCTCCGCCTCCTCCTCCGCCTCCTCCTCCTCCGCCTCCGCCTCCTCCTCCTCCTCCTCCTCCGCCTCCTCCTCCTCCTACTCCTCCTCCTCCCCCCCCCTCGCCTCGCTGCGAGCCGTGGGCAGGCGGCGGGAGGGGAGCGTCGAGGGCGAGGGGATCGGCACGGAGGGGCATCGCCACGCAGAGGGTCGCCGAGGCCGCTCCCGAAGCAGGCCGCGGCGCCGAGGCGGGAGGCAGGGAGCCTTCAGCGTTTGGAGCGTCGTGTCCTCGCCGTCGTCATGCGAATGCCGTGGGCCAGTGCGGGGCTCTGCCTGAGCCGACGGCCAGCGAGGGGGTCCAGCGCCGATCCGAGGAGCCCGCGCAGACCTCCGAGCGTGCATGTCTGCGTCGTCGTCTGCTCCCCGTGCACGTCCCCGCTTGTTTGCAGGTCTGGGAAGGAGCGAAGGGGCTTCGCCACAGTCAGCCTGCATCGTGAGGATGGGCAAGCTTCCCAAGGGTACCCTTGCATCCTTGCCCCCGCGGTCCGTCCTTGGCCACTTCCGTTGGCCACGCCCCGCTCGACAAGCCCCGAAAGGGGCGTCCACGGCCCTTTGCATCCTGACCGCGCACATCCTCACTGCACGGGTTGACCGCAGCCGCCGCGATGCCTCGGCCCCGGCCACGAGGGCGCGCCGTGGCCGGCCCCTCGAGCGGAGCGAGGCGCCGAGGCTCGTCGTCCCCCCCCGCCGGCCCTCCCTTGGGAGGCGAGCCCGCGGCTCCCGCCGCTGGCCGCCCCGGGCGGCCCCAACCGAAGCCAGACTGCAAGTGCTGCCGCGCAGGACGCGTCAGCGGGCCGCGGCCGCGGGGTGGTCGCCGCCGCCCGCCGCCGCTGGTCGTCGCCGTGTCCGTCGTCGTCCGCCGTCGCCCGTTGCGGTCGTCGCCGCCTGTTCGAAGAAGCGAGAACGCCATAGACAGAAACTTTCGGCGCTCCGCGCGGGTTTCTTGGATCTCCGCTGGGCCCCCCTGGCGGCGCCTCTGGCGCCACCCCTGGCGCGCTCCGCGCGCCAGGGAGGGGGGTCCAGCGCAGATCCAAGAAATCCGCGCGGAGCGCTGAAAGTTTATGTTTATGCCGTTATTTATGATTCTAGTTGTTGTCCGACGTGCATCGTGTTGAGTTGGAGTAGTTCAGTCAACCCGCATAAGAAGGACGCGCGATAAGGATGCAAGTGCCCTGGAGCGCCATTCTGAAGTGTTTCGAGCGGGCCGCGGCCAACGGAACTGGCCAAGGCTGGGTCGAGGAGACAAAGATGCAAAAGGTAGCCGTGGGAAGGGGGCCCCTCCTTCAGATGCGGGCTGGCTACACTCTCTGGCGTTGTGGGACTGGTGCGTGCGGGTCGGCGGTGGGAGGGACAGTCGTGCGTTGATCGCATACTGCTGCGCGCAGTATTGCGCGGCTGCTGCTGGGGGGCGCGACCTCTTTGCTCGGGCAACAACTATGGCGAATTGCGTAGGGGGAAAGATACACACTTGCCTACGCGCAGGTACTGCATCCAGGTGCCAACGATTGCAGTGCGATTGCACCCGTCCCCCCCGCGGACCCATCTGTGACAGACCCACTACCCCGGCTTGAAATTGTCCATCGTCCGTCGCGGTCTTCCATCGCAGGTCGTCGTCGTCGTTGTCGTCTTTGGATGCTTTCGGAGGCATCTGGATGCAATTCAGAAGCCTCACAGTTTTCTCGGTGGGTTGAGCTTGTTGCGCATGGAAGTGAACTGGTTGGCCATGGTCAGACGGTTATGATGCCAGCCTCGAGCTTCGATATGGTGCGGGTCTGGCCACGAAGGCCTGAGCCCGGCCGAGCTCAATGGCCTCTGATGGCACTCTTTTCCAGCACGAGCGTGTCTGCTGGTCTCGTATCGGATGCGAGGTGACCCCCCTGTGCCCACCCCGGCCCGCTGACAGGGGCTTCGCATCGCCCCATGACAGCACAGTGGGCCCGCATGGCGAGGATGAGCGAGTCTCCCAAGGGTGCCCTCGCATCCTTGCCTCCTCGA